CTGGGCGGGCAGACTTCGGGAAGCTTGCCACAGTCGGGCGCTTCGTCCTTCGCCGCGGTGTAGTACTGGTTGCTCTCCGGCCCGTGGCTTTCGTTTTGGATCAGAATAGGAGGCTTGTGGGGATTAACTTTGTTTAGCCATTTATCCAGCTGCCACTTGTTGGAGGACGCTGGTTCGGCCTAGAAGCAGAAAACCAGCAACAAACAGAACATCTTTTATGACCGGCTCACCTCAAAAGGGCCTGGCTATTTTACCCTGACTTAATTCTTCTAGGTGTGTGAGCAGAAGACGGATGTGCTGGAAACAAAGGAGAATGGAAGCAGTAGGTGTGTATGGCAGCATCGACTTGGTACAGGACGCAGGGATGCTGTCCCCTTCCTGGCCCCCTACACTGAAACGCCCACACAGTAGTTTGAGGCCCTATTGGAAAAATAAGGGGATGCACTGTGTTCCATTAGGACCCGTTTACAGCATCTTTGAGTGTGATACAATGTACATTTTAAATATTTACACAAACATACATTAACTTGAGAGCCCAGGAAAGTTAACTGGGGAGTAGTCTGGAGAACCTGAGGATTAGCTCTCATTTTTCCTGGGACTTAAAATTTGGAGGGAATTAGACAAGGGAGTGGCTAAGTGGAACCTATACTCCCAAAGAATTACCTGTGTGTGCCCTAAACGCTTTGACAGCTGGACTTGGTTTGTCTGTCCTCAGCCTGCTTCCATCACACTTTGCCCGAAATGTTTCAGACAAGAAGGTAACAATGGAAACCTTTCCTGCAAGCAGTTTTGCTAACTTAGAGCAAGTCATGGGCATTCCACGTTCTAAACCCTAGCCCATAGATCAGCTCCAGATGGGGGTGGGGGGCCATGAATGCCCTGAAACGGAATGCGAAATGTTACGTAGACGCATTTTTTGGGGGGGAGGAGACCCATAGTTTTCATTTGTGTCTCTAGGGATTCAAGTCTCATAAAAAGGTTAAGAACTGATGCTTTTACAGGGAGTAAGTGTTGCTGATTTCTAATGAAAGTCCATTCACCCAGTATCTGTGATTATTACTAGAAAAGAAGTGCACTGATAAGTGCAGAACTTTGGCTGGAGTGTTTTCAATGTATGACTGTATGTGAAATGGGGCAAGTTTTTTGAGTGATGGAGATGTAGTGTCCCTTCCCTATGGCCTCCACCCTCTGAATTCATGGCTTCTAGGGTTCCAGGAGGAGAACAGATACCAGCCTAGAATAAAGACGAAGGATTTAGCTTTGTATTTCAAACTTGGCTGGTTCAAGCCTAGAGCAAGTCAATTTCCCTTGCAGGAGAAAAACTTTTTTATTTAACATAATAATTTCCAAAAGCCTGCTTGAAAATCAAGATTTAGTTATCAACAGAGAGGTCCTTATTAAGAGCAGAACTTGGGGCCCAGCCACCTGCAGCAAGGATCTGAGGAGGGGGAGGGGAAGGAAGGGCAGTATCTTAAGACACAAGGGTCCTGGCTGAATCTGGAGGAGTCTGGGGCACAGCTCAGGGAGATGAGAAACCTTTAATGGGCCAGAGGGGCCTGGGGCCAAGATGAAGAGGCCACAGGATGTGGGCACCAGGCACTAGATGGCAGGGACCGTGGGCATCCTTCTCGTTCCCCCACAACAGAGGAGACCAACTACACTTCAGTGCACAGCAGCACAGGGTGTCCAGGGACTGAGAAGCAAAAGTGACATTTCAGTCGGGGCCAGCATGGGAATCCTAGGCCCTTCCCCTGGGGCTGTGAGGATGGAGAGCTTTCCCCTGGGATAAGGTATGGGAGGGGAATCCCTGGTGACCCTGGTAAGGAGTCTAGACTTGGACTTGACTTTCTGCTTTGTTTGCTTGCATGCCACCAAAAGGACCAGGGCTCCAGAGCAAGAGGCAAAAGAAGAAATGATAAATCTTTTTTTGCACCTCTGAGTTGTCATAGGTAAAGTCTGAGCTGGCTTTAATTTGGCTTCTCCAGACAAAGGGATCAAATAGAACATGCAGAGCACACCTGGTCCATTCTGTAATAGTGATGCAACAGGGGACGGGGGACACAGAGCCGCTCCTCTGCCCAGGGGATGCTCTCGCTTGCTCTGAGACTAGGGGACACTCTAGCCTGCCCTGAGACTAGCTAAGTGTGGTTGAGGGCTAATCTGGTGGCAAATACATTGATAGCTTCTGAGGTTGTCTCCTCCACACTCCCATTTCTCTCATGATGTGTCCACTAGCAGGTCAGTGGCTTATGTGTATCAGCCTCCCCAGACAAATGGGGCCCAGTGATAGGCCTTGAAGAAAGGGACACATGCTGGGGCAGGGAACACACATTTGTGGCAGAGCCTGCCACTCTCACAGGCCCCACCACCGTGTCTGATGCTAGCTCACCCTTGTCCCCACCGTCCTGGGCCTCCCCCGCCTCACATCTCTCCTGCGCGAGAACACAGACGCCTGCCTAGAGCCAAAACACAGCAGCTCACGGGCAGACTCTCACTAAAACTTCCCGCAGGGAGCCTTAACAGTGAAGAGAGAATTTAATAAATTGGGTTTGGGCCCACTGCCCGATGTGCTTTAGGACCATTTTTCCTGTGTTTCGCAGCTGAAGAAATCAGGCTGAAGCCCCCATTTTCAACATATCACTAAATCACATTCCTCTTCTCAGGAATCTACAATGACCCCCTCTTCCTGCCTCCCAAACGAAATCCAGACGGCTCAGGCATCTATCACCTTGCAGGCATCTTTTCACTGCCAGACACCTACAACGTGCTCCCACTTTGTATGGATCATCTAATTTAATCCATATAGAAAGAGATATTATCACCAGTAATTTGTCTATGAGGCTCAGAGAGGTTAAGTGGCTTGTCCAACGTCACAGAGCTGCCAGGCACCACCGAGACACACCACAAATTTGTCTAGGCTTGGAGCCCAGCCTCTTTCCACTGCTGCTCCGCCTAATCTCTCATTACTCTCCGTTGTGGCCTCGTGAAAGGGGACCTCCCTTTTTGTTTGTTTGTTTTCTTTTTCTTTTTCTTTTTTTTTTGAGAAATGTCAGTCTTCAACCTAAGATGACAGAATTAGAACTGATTTTTGGAGAAAACACCACTAGCTCCAAATTGTACCTGTTATTATCTTTCTGTGGCCTATTCTGCATTGTTCTATGATCCTTAACTGTGCCGTCTGGATGCCCACATCTGTTTCATGGATCTGTGTCTCGTCTCTTCAACAATGCCAAGCACTGCTTGTTCGTCTCACTCGCAGGCCCCAAAACGATCAGGGGCCAGCCTGCTGTGACTACTGCTACCGAGGACGAGGGGCAATGAGCTGACACTCCATTTGTCTCGCTTATCCCTCACCGCAGCCTCACAGGTGAGGCAGCGCAGGGTTACCTGCCCTTTGGAGGATGAAACAACAGGGGCCGGGGAAGTTTAAACAGCCAAGAGTTAGAGGGCAGGAGAAAAGGGCGGCCTCAGGGCTCGGGGCTCGTTCCCTGGCCCGCTGCTGGCGGTGGTCCACTTCCTGAGCTGTCTGGCGGGTTTCTGCCTGGTGCTTCTGTCGGTTCGCTGGCCTACCGCTTTGCCTTTCCAGCCACAACTCTCCTCCCTGCCTCACACACGAGCCCCCCACCGCATCCTTTGCTCAGTGCCCACTTCATCTGTATCCCTGCAGCCTTCCTCACGCCCACTGCCGTGTGCCCCTGAGAAGCCTAGTGAAGGAGAAGCTGGTTGAATCAAAGAATCACTTGCATCGTGTGTCTGCTGATTTTTCAAGAATGATCTAGGGCAGCATTTTCCAAAAATGTGCTTTTAGTTCATCTACCCCCTGAAGAAAGGTTTCCATGGTCAAATAAATTTGGGAAACGCCACAGTGGAGAACACTGTTGACGTGAGCGTTATTAAGAGCTGAGTGATGCTAGAGGGTCACGACATGTGTTAAGCCTCCTTTTTCCTGGCAGTTCTCAAAATCACATGACCAGGCTCTTTTTTTGTCCCTCTGGTACCTTTTAGTTGGGGGCCATTGGTCTAAGGAGCTCTGTATGCTGTGTAAACATGCTAGCTGAGTGGCAAGAAGCTCTCCCCCATGGCACTCTGGCATGAAAGGATGGACCAGGCCAAGAAAGAAGGTACAACTCAAATGAAAAAAAATTAGGCCGAGGACAAGCTGGCAATCGTCGGGCCACAAAGAGGGGATATGCAGTGGTGGAGGTCCTGCTAGAGTACCTCTTCCCTGCCAGCTGCGGACATGGGGTGACACTGTGGCGATGCGTGTAAAAGACAGCCGTGTTCTACAACCACAGCCACGAACGAGAGCTCAGATGAAGCTCAAGAGAGCCGAGCAGGTGCCTTGGAAGATCGTGAGCGCCTCTGTCTGCTGTCACGTTGGGATGGTGCCAGGTAGAGGAAAGGGTGGGGGCAGAAATGCTTTGCTCCAAAGCAGCGCAAATGGGTCTGCACAGTGGGATGCAAGTTGCGTGGCTCTGAAGAGCTGGACGGCCATGTGGGGTTCAGGAAAATGAGTCTCATTGCTCTCTGTAAGGTGACCTGGGCCAGCACGGTCAGAGCAAAACAGACACCCTGGAGGGTCGGCTGGATAATGTGTCCTCTCTTTGTGACTTTCTGCAAACGTACTTTATTTCTGGAGGGCGTGTGTCTGTATTAATGTTGGGGAAAATGTTTAAGGAAAACTTATTTTTATTCCAACGAATACCTTCCTTTCCAGCAGAGGGAAGTCACGTGCTGTGTGCACCATCCCTTACCCCTTCTGGTCTCCCTCTGCATAGAGAAGCCAGGAGGTGAAAACTATGTGTGGTCTCAGGCAACTTCAACTTTTAGGCCGGCTTCAGTAGACCCTCTCTTTCTTCGCTAGGGGCCTCTGATGGCTGCTGGAAGATGTGATAAGTGCTTCCTTTTATCCCCAAGATGCTCAAGTCTCTGTAATTATCTCAGTGACATTCAGAAAGAAAGAATCTGCTTAAAGGCTTTTATAACTGTACTTCCCGGAGGCTGGGTTTCCGCCTCTTCTAGGAACTCCAGAAGTCACGTTTCAGTGCTCAAATAAAACTCAACATTCCTGAGTTTAACCTTCAAAGTCACAAAGAAGAGCTTGGTGTAAGGGCGGGAGGAGGCGTAGCAGTCAAAGGCCCTAACCCTTTGGTTCCACCGCCACTGTCCCCCTTGGCTCTTGAGATGTCTCTGGAACCCAGTTCTTTCTACTAAATATTCTGGAGTTTTTAAACAAATTAGAGCATACAGCTGGTTCTGAAGAAGGCTGGTTAACTCTGTTTTATTTAACTGCTGTATTTTTTGTTTGTTTGTTTCAAATTATTCAAATTGGAACATCAGCTCTATGAAGACAGAGACCTGTTCTGTCAAAGCACTGCTATCTCCCAGAGCCAAGAGTCACATCTGGGGCAGAGACTCAAGAAATGTTTGTCGAATGAACACTGAATGAGGGAATGAATGAATGGAGGGATGAAATTATGGAGAAGGAATAATAATTTAGTTCCTGGGAAAAGTCAGGGTTATATCAACATATGGCTTTTATAGGTTAATGTGCTAAGGGCCTCCGAGAGAGAGAGAGAAGAGAGAGAGAGAGAATGAATTATGGGGGTGAGGAGTGAGCCCCATGGAAAGGAGAGGAAAACACAGGAGAGATGGAGACGACTTATTTCAGGAGGAACGGGGAGCTCTTGGTGCCAAGCAGAAAGGGCTGAAGAAGAACAAGGACCATGGGGAAAGAATGACAACTTCCCTAGTTTCTCGATTCTCCTGCAAAAAGCCTTGGCCTCCTGGGAGGAGACCGGAAAGGAGAAAACCTGAATTTAAGAGCCGCTCTAGGAACTTGGGATAAAGTCGCAAGTGCTTCCAGGTGTGATCACGTGCACGGGTGTGACACGTCCTAAGACGCAGGTACACAAGCAGGAAACGCGAGTCTCGCTGGCCAGCAGACACGCCCCGCCTCCCCCCCTCCCAGCCACGTTTGCATAAGTGGGTTCGGTTTCATTTCAGAGCCTACTTAGAAATTGGAGCCCCAAAGTGATACAGAGGGTTGTAGGTAAAAAATTAAATACGATGATCCACAGTAATGTCAAAATGTTCAAAAAAAATTTTTTTTTAATTTTTAAAATTTTGGGGGTGGGGAGGTAATTAGGTTTATTTGTTTAAATGGATGTACTGGCGATGGAACCCAGGACCTTGTGCATGCTAAGTGCGTGCTCTACCGAGCTACACCCTCCCCACCACATCAAATTCTTATACACACAAGAAGTATAGTTTATTCCTTCTTTGGAAATCAAAGCCTACCCTTGCTTATGGATCCAGGGACTTGAGAAGTTTGCTCTCAGCCCTCTCTCAAGAATCCATGCTCTGAATTACTATTTAATTTTCCCCTTTCCCCTTTAAAGTAGAGAGGGCAATGGTTTTTATTGGTATCTTATAATATTTTTATATGAGGCGCCTAAATCTCCACACAGATACTCTGCTATAAAAGGTTTCATTATTATTTGTACATTGATGCTAATTTTTTTTATACTTTCACAAAGAAAACACAGTGAAGAAGGTTTTATTAATATTTGTAGCCCTTGTTCTTCTGATCCGTGACAAACTGCAAAGAGGTAAGAGTCTAACCGTGTCTAATCCACAGAACTCCTTTCCCCGTGATTTACGGGCGTTCACACTTCCCAGGTGGGGAGCTGCCCTGTCTGGTTACTGCCTCGGCTGACCCTCAGGGAGACCCGACCCACAGGCTCTTTCCAGTCAGTGATGTTTACAGCATACTTGGAAAGTTCTGCAAGTCAAGATCGAGATTTTTGGACAATAAAAGACGATGTTTCTGTAGTTCAAAGGAAGCTTTGCAATTAGGAGAACGGCGACGAGGGAGGGGGTGGGAGAAATGGGCCCCAACAAACCCTGGCAGGCTGCCAGGGGGTGGTGGGCTAGCGGGGTCATGGCTCACGGGCGAGTGTCACAGCAGGGAGGCCGAGGGAGCTGGAGGTGTGGGAAGCACAACTCGGAGGAAGATTTACTGCACACCTGGGGTGGGGAAGGGGGCCGGGGAGGCGCCAGAGGCCCGCGCGCTCTTACCTCGGGGCTGGAGTAGTGGGGCGGCTTGCTGCCCTCACTCTCGCTGGAACTGCTCTCGGTCTCCGAGTCGGACCCCGAGCTGCTCTCCGAGTCGCTGGAGGAGCTGCTCCCGCTGCTGCTGCTGCCGCTGCTGCTGCCCTTGCTGGAAGGCGCGGAGGCCCTGCCGCTGGCCTGCTGGGCCCCGGCGCTGCCAGCCCGCGAGGCCCCGGGAAGGAAAGGGGAGGAGAGCCAAGTGAGCAAACACGGACACACCACGACCGAGCTGTCGTTCAGCCGAGGGAGAGGAGGCAGCACGCAGCCTGCATGGCTGTCAGCTCACCTGGACCTCGCAGAGCCATCGCCAAGGTCAAAGCAGCCCAATGGTTAAGAAAAAGTACACAGATAAATACAGCTGGAGGGAAAGTGGGTGCCACTCGGGCACCAGTTTTTTGTGTGACCGTTTGAGAAGGGACGGTGGGGTGATTTCAGAAGGCCTGTTTCTACTTTGTGGCTGTTTCTGAGGCTGGCTTTTCAAGAGCATCCCCGATTCCAATCATCTACCCAAACGAAAGGAAATCCAAAATGCCTGAAACATTTTGTGGAGAATGAAATGGTCCATTTGCTTTGCTTTAGGAAGTGGGCCACGAGGAAGTGCACACTGTCCTGCTCTGTGCTTTCACAGCCTGCTGGAAGGTTCCAGAAACCACGGGACCCACAGTTAGGCTTGCTTCCCACCTCTTCTTGCCCTTAGAGTTGAATGCTGTCATCTTTACAGGCCAGCTTCTGCATAAACAGTCATTTTCGTTTGAGCTCTTTATTAAAGAACTGAAGCTCCATCACTCACACATTTTTTAATACATTCTAGACTTTAACATTCAACCCCAGTACACTGGCTTCTAGCAATACCATTCCAAATTATACTTGAGGTTCACATCCATGCTGAAACTTGCCAGAAAGTTACGCAGTCCAATACTATACGCAAAGAGAACAGGAAAAATGGGACACGTCTAAGGGCAATTAACTCACCCTAAAAATCCAAACAATACACATCCGCCCAAAACAGTGAGCCAAAAAGAAAGTTTCAGTACTCACGTCCTAGTCAACATCTTCCAAGTCCTTCATTAATTGCACTGAAACACACCTGACTCTGTTCTTTGGCGATCAAACTCGAAACCCAGAAAATGCACCGATCGCCTTTTTTTTAACGTCGAGTCAGCAGGTCCCGGCTGGCCCCTTCCCGTTGTGACCACTGCTTCAACAGGACTGGATACAAGTGAAGGCCAGGGGCCGGGGGAGAACTTATGGTCTCAAGTGCAAAGCAGCCAGGACAAGGTAAAGGACCCTTTTCACCCGCCCCTTCAATCTTTGACAAATGCTTTGCCCAAGGACAGAGCCTCATAAATCCTCAGTGTGGGGCGGGGGGGGGGGTTGGTTACAACTCATTGGAACCTGGCTTCTCCCAGAAGAATGATAAGACAAGAAGCTATCTTGCAGGGTATACCTGAAAATAAAAGCACCTTTTTGAACTGCAAGTTTAGGGAAAAATAGGGTTGGAACATAACCTTCCCTAAGTGGTTTTGATTTCTTCTGCCAATGTCACGGTCCATCCCTACTGTCTGACAAACGTCCTCAACGTCAGACAACACCTGCACCTTTATGCCTGGCCGGCGCTGTGACGGCTCCCTTTCCAGCCTGCTGTTTCCTCTGGTGTTGAGTGGGGAACTCTGGATCCTTAGACGGGCTGGGAAGGGAAGGTCAGGGATCCAAGAGTTGTAATATTTCTCTCGTCCCTTATGAACTAAAGTCCATCTTTTCCTATTGGCTGAGTGGAAATTATCAATGGAGTCATTTTAAAAAAAGGGGGGGCTATCAGATTCCGACTGAACATGAACATCTGGGATCTAGGTTACTTGTTTGTCAGCACGGCCTCCAAACACGGGGAAAATTCCAACAAACAAACGAAAACACACCAAAACCCAAACAAACACAAACCAAAACGCCCCCAAAACGCCAAACAACACATGGTGGAGGAAAGTCTCCCAGGCACGCTCTGGAATGACATTTGCTGAAGACTGGGAAATTCAGATAAATAAAGAGCATTTTGATTGGTTTTATATGACGGTCAAAGGCTTTGATCACCAAGCGGTACATTCTCCGGCTTTAATTCAAACAGCAGAGGACACGGGTTGCAGGGGCTGCGTGCACCTGGGGGCTGTGTTTGCAGCAGAAGCTGCGACGTGCGCGGAGCTCCCCGGGGCTTGCGCGACAAAGTGGTGGTCTTCTGAAAAGTGGCACTTTCATTTCGGGGAAAATGTCCATTAAACAGTGCCCGAGCTGCCTTCCTTCCATGATGGCTGTCCTACAGGGACAGACACACCAGCCCAAGGAGACAGGATCTCTGACCTGATTGGCAGGAAAGCCTCATACTTTTATGTTTTCCTTCCTTAAATTAGGAAATTCACTTCAGATGACAGTTTTACTGGCGTAACTATTATTTGTTTTTGAAACGGTTGAGAGAGCCAAGAATTTTAGGTTTTTTTTTCGCGCTCTGCTTTTAAGGGCCATGTGGCTCTTGGTGACTCTGGGGCCAGGACGGAACCCATTCGCGTTTCAATGGTCCAAGTAGAGACGAGACCGTGTCCCGGGAAACAATCCATGTCCAGGATGGGGGACAGGCTGGCCTGAAGGGCTCTGGTGGCTCCAGTTGTGGGATGGAGTTAACCACCCCTCCCTCCACAAAGCCTGCTCCATTAACTACCCTTCTTATGGGTCTTTGGGGGACAGCTGGTCATTCCGGGCTCAGCATGATAACCACTCTTGCCGTGTGTGCGGGCAGGTGCTTTGGCTCAGCAACTCGGGTGGCAGAGTAAAGAAGCCGGGATACTTGTCCCTGCAGAAGCACCAAGCGCAGAATGGGCTCAGTTAAGCCAGGCTCTCTGAAATCATGGAATCAAGAAAATGGAAAAAAACACACTGGACAGACCTCCCTGGAAGAAGACTTTACTCTATGTATTTAAAACTGCAAACTGAAAAAGGTTTTTTTCTTTTTAATGGAGGGACTGGAGATGGACCCCCAGGACTTCGTGCATGCTAAGCACATGCCCTACCACAGAGCTACACCCATCTTTCTGAAAATTTTATTTAGTGTGCCAACCAGCTGTCATGTTTCCATACCGAAGACATTAACACTTTTTGAAACTTAATTTAACAAGTAACTTTTTATTTTCTGAAATGATAACAAGAATTGATTGACGTGATGAGACAGCACTGGACAATTTTAAGGAACAGTTCCTGTACCCTCTCTCATTTCAGCAACATGGTGCCACCAAGTCTGTGAACATGAAAATGTGACTGAGATCATGGAATGAAAGTCTCTGTGTCCCCAAACTTAGCACCGTGCCTGGGACATAATAGGTGTTCACATGAAAAAATGAAAAAAATCCATAGAAGAAAAATCTATCACTCGGTTAATGAGTTGAAGAAAAAAGATTTAACCTTTCAAAAAGGTTACAGTTTCTCTTTTCTATTGAAAAAAACCCTTAAGGGATTTCAGCACCTCTTGGACTTTTCCAATTTCAACACCTCTTCCTTTCAGAGGCTCTGTCTTTAAACGTGCTCTGCATTTCATCTGCTATATAATTTAAGCCCAGTTCTCTCTTGGATGGCTTATTTACTTTTTGTGTCATGATTTGATTTTGTGAAATATTTTGCTGATTTTGTGAGTGGTTGAGGCCAAATACACTTTTGAGAGAGACCCAGCTTTATTCTAAATGAGCTGTTTGCTCTGTGCCTTCCTTTGGCTGCAGTGATGTGTGCTTTTCTGAACCTGGCCTGGGTTGAGTTTGAATACAGACAGTAAAAGAGAAGATCTGGAACCAAAATGACAAATCCTGGATCTCACAGTCACGGGTGCTCCTGCCAAGTGTACTGTGGGGCCTGGATACATGTCCAAAGTTGTCCACAAGCTCTGAGCTAACAAGGAACTTGGAGGCAGGCTCTGTGCCTGGTTGGCACTGTGTGGACGGCCGTGATGCCCAGCACAGGGCCTCTGCATCCTGCAGGCTGAATCCATTGGGATGGACCAAATAACATTTTAGAAGAAGTTACAGCTCTTTCTCACTCAGCACTCTGTATGAACTCAACAAAATGCTTGACTTCTAAACCATAATTGGTGCCCTGGCAATGGTATTCTCTGATTGATGGCATCTTCATTGCTATTCATTGATCTCAAACTATAACCACGTTATGAGACGTGAAAATGGACAAGCTGGCCCAAGGAGGTTCACTGTTGCTGGAATTATCTTCCAAAATACAAAACTGATAGGATGGTGGGTCTTGTACTAAAATCTTTTGTGTGCTCTGTAATACCTCCAGGAACACCTCTTCCATCCAGCATGGCTTTTGAAGCTCCCCATGGTCTGGCCTCAGTCAGCCCTCCAGTGATACCTCAATGGTTCTTTCCCTAAAGCTCGGCCATAATAAACATCTCATCGTTTGGACAATCTAGGTGCCTCTGCACGTGCTATTTTCTGTGCCAGAAAGCCCTTCCTTCTCCTAGTTACCTCCAACTTGCTCTCCGGGACTGAGACGCAACCTGTTCTGTAAAGTGTTTCTCAATGCCCCCAGGCACAACTGATGTTTTCCCCTGAGCCCCTTAGCACACCATCCATTTTTCTTTTGTAGCTGTTACCATGTTAAGGGTAGGAAGTATCTATCTCCTTTGCCCTGTATCCCCAGAGCTGCAGAGGGTGCGGCACAGTCAACAAATACTGATTGAAAGAATAAAAGAAAAACAGTAAGTCAGTGTATACGATTATACTGTGAAATAGCCTATGCGATGTTCTTACATTCACATGTGTAGTTTTTCTGTTGCCTCGGGGTTGCCGAAGATTTCGTAAAACAGATAGCTTTAGAAAGCTACCACTGACGTTACCGGCCAAAACCTACAAGCCAGGCAAGGAGCATAAATGAGTGAAATGTCCAGGTACAAGTACAACAAATGCCTAACACATGATGATAAATGAGAGTGGACCCTTGGCTCCCCAGCGGGGAAGTGTTAAGCTGGAAAGCAGATCTCTGCCACGTGGAAATGAAAGCCCCATGCTACCAAATCCTTCCCTTTCTTTCAGAGGAAGCCCCACATCCTGAACTTTATATCCGATCTCCTGATTTTAACATGCTAGTAAGTAATTTGAGAATTTTTAACGC